ACCAGATCTTCGTTGTCGCTATCGGAGAGCTCTTTCTCAGGGTAATCACTCAGAGGTCCGATGTTTTCGGACAGATCTTCGTTGTCGTTATCGGAGAGCTCTTTCTCAGGGTAATCACTCAGAGGTCCGAAGCTTTCAGGCAGATCTTCGTTGTCGCTATCGGAGAGCTCTTTCTTAGGGTAATCACTCAGAGGTCCGATGTTTTCGGACAGATCTTCGATGTCGCTATCGAAGAGCTCTTTCTCAGGGTAATCACTCAGAGGTCCGATGTTTTCGTGCAGATCTACGTTGTCGGTATCGGAGAGCTCTTTCGAAGGGTAATCACTCAAAGATTGGATGTTTTCGGAAAGATCCAGATGGGCGCCTTTGGAGAGCTCTTTCTCAAAAAAATTACTGAGAGATTCAATGTTTTCGGACAGATCCAGATGGGCGATTTCTTTTGGCAGAAATTGCGCAATGTCATTCTCTGCGTTATCACGAAGGTTTCCTACGTTTTTGGATGGATCTTCATTGACGCTGTTGGGGTAATCATGGAGGGATCCGATTTTTTCGGCCAGTTCCTTAGGTGCATTATTGGAGAGTGCTTTCTTAGGGTAATCGCTCAGAGATCCAATGTTTTCGACCAGATATTCATTGTCGCTATTGGAGAGCTCTTTCTCAGGGTAATCGCTGATGGATTCGATGTTTTCGGACAGGTCTTCATTGTCGCTATTTGAGAGCTTTTTCTCAGGGTAATCACTTGGAGATCTGATGTTTCCGGACAAATCCTCATGAGCGCTATCAGAGAGTTGTTTTTCATGGAGATCACGAAGGGAACCGATGTTTACCAAACGATCCTCATGGGCGTCATCGGAAATGGCGTTCTCTTGATAATCTCGGAGAGAACCGAGTTTCTCGGACAGAATATTGCCACGGTCGTTTGTTATCCAGTTTGTAATATCTCGATCCTTGATTGGTCCAGATATGGTACGTAAAGGAACATGCAGCACAAGGACCAAAACGAACAAATAGTGGACGCAACCCATGAGAACCAGTTTCTGCCGTAAAGAAAAAAATAGGGACCTTAAGCAACCAAGACGGCGACGGCAACGAGGACGTGGAAAAACAAGAGATCTAATTGGCAGAAAAATAGCTCATCACGTGCGTTTTGAAACTCTGTACATTTCTTAGCCGTCCTATACAAAACAACAACGTGAAATCGCCAAAATTTACGTCGTCTGCGAACCGAAACCGCGACGGCAAATTATTTTAGGTTTCATTTGGAACTCAACGCTACTTTTATACGTCATGCTGAAGTTGAGCTGTGGCGCCATATGAGACAGTGAGCTCCTGCAGCCATGTTTGAAATTCTAACTAAGAGCAGAAATTCATTTTTTAATTGGAGTCTTCCTTGGCGTTGCCGTCCTGACTGCTTAAGGTCTCTAATAGGGACCTTAAGCAACCACGACGGCGACGGCAACGAGGACGTGGAAAAACGAGAGATCTAATTGGCAGAACAATAGCTCAGCACGTGCGTTTTAAAACTCTGTACATTTCTTAGCCGTCCTATACAAAACAAAAACGTGAAATCGCCAAAATTTACGTCGTCTGCGAACCGAAACCGCGATGGCAATTATTTTAATATTCATTTGGAACGCAACGCTACTTTTATACGTCATGCTGAAGTTGAGCTGTGGCGCCATATGGGACAGTGAGCTCCTGCAGGCATGTTTGAAATTCTTATTAAGAGTAGAAATTCATTTTTTAATCGGAGTCTTCCTTGGCGTTGCCGTCCTGACTGCTTAAGGTCCCTAATAGGGACCTTAAGCAATCACGATGGCGACGCCAACGAGGATGTGGAAAAACGAGAGATCTAATTGGCAGAACAATAGCTCAGCACGTGCGTTTTGAAACTCTGTACATTTCTTAGCCGTCCTATACAAAACAACAACATGAAATCGCCAAAATTTGCGTCGTCTGCGAACCGAAACCGCGACGGCAAATTATTTTAGGTTTCATTTGGAACTCAACGCTACTTTTATACGTCACTGCTGAAGTTTAGCTGTGTCACCATATGAGACAGTGAGCTCCTGCAGCCATGTTTGAAATTCTAACTAAGAGTAGAAATTCATTTTTTAATCGGAGTCTTCCTTGGCGTTGCCGTCCTGACTGCTTAAGGTCCCTAATGAACGAATAGTACGGAGTGTTACAACTGCAGAAAAATCCATTGTTTTTTTCAGCGGATGATCCACGAAGGATGATTTGATTTCATCAACCAACGCAACAGAAACGCAAAAATGTTCTTTCAGAAGACATCATAAGACTATTTGTATGAGTACCATTTCCAACTTTTCCTACTTAGGATTAATTCTTCTGTTTCTTCCTCCATCAAAACTAAAGATTTTTTTTAGTCCTGAATCTTAAATGAGCGAGACTCTTTAAAATTAAGAGGCTGCCTAAAAGAAGTTGCCTTCTGTTAAAAAAGCTATCTGGTTATAGCATGAACAACGAAGTAATTAAAAGAGAATATGCATATTGAAGCAAATGAATAAAATGGATAAGCGAACAATTGAGAATTAGTATAGGATTTCCCCCAATACGTTAAATGTTAAAGAAACCTTACTAACAATATCTACCCAAAGTCGAACGGTGGATATCCTTTAGAGCTGTTACGTTGTAGTTAGCTTGCAATCACGAAGCCACTCGTTGATTTCTGCTGATCACTTGGCATTGCAACATTTTATTTATGTGAAGCTTTTTAAAAAATATGCTGAATTTCACAAAAATCAGATAAGATTGAGGAGTTAAGAGAAATTTAAACTTTTATTTACTTAGGGCGCTACTTAACGCGGGATATCTTGATTATGATCATGTCTCTTTAAAAGCACTTAAAAAAAAAGTGTAGCACTGCGTTGGCTGATGGGTAAATTACCATGCTGTTCATGAGCGATAGATCGAGGGCCGCGCCATGATGTGTCGGCTTCCGAGAGAGCTGAGAATAATCGAAAAAATCACCTTGAAGAAATTTTCTAGAACGATCAATTTTCCGCTAAAGTTTAGAAACCTTTCTTTCACTACATACTTACATAGAGTTTCCTAATAATTTTAAAAAGCTGTAATATATAATTAGCCAAAGTATTTGCAGCTGTCATCATTATTTTTCTAGAGCTATCGGTAAGATCGCCACCACACAACCCACAGCCTATTTTGAGTAGCCTTACTTCCTATGGACGAAGAGGAGATTTAATTAATATACGTTTGTATCAAACTGATGTTTTTAATCTCTCCCGTGGGAAAACCAGATGGTATACAACGAGTAGAAATGAGATTGTTAAAATCTGCCTCCGCGTAGTGATGAGATTTTGTAGTTATGAATAAATGAATGAAAAGGAAGTGATTTATAGATTTAAAACTGGATGTTGGATTTTCACATTTGAATTATCAGACAGGGTCTAAGAATTTAGAGAAAAAATACCGTGGTTGACCGTGTAACGTTTTACCCCTGATGCTTTTATTAAGAATAAAACTAACATCATAAGTGAAGGAAGTAACTTGTTTCGCAAGAGAAGACGCAGCAGTACCACTTAGGCAAGCAGGTGAAACACATGTTGATTACTATTAAAAAGCTTGCGTCCCATAGGCAATCTATCGTTTTCCCCATTTTTCCTTTATCCTAAAACTGTATGCATAATTAAATATGGGCTTATACAGAAATCTTGCCTAATTTTCTTTCAAGACACCTTTTTTGCAGCGAAGTCCTGTTGGCCTCTAACTTGAATGCGGCAAACACGGAACCGGCCAAGGTCATTCTCAAAAAAGGATTTTTTAAAATGCGTAATGATACTCACATGGAGGCGGCAGTACAATCTCTGAGTAAAAAGTTGAGTTATCATCAACTGGAAAGATCACGTTGAATCAGAAGTATCTTTTTCTTTTCTAAGGTTTGTTTTGCTCTAAAAAAAACTTCAGAAGGATTAACACTTGTATGACTTATTTGAATGAAAACAACCAGTTGTTAAAGCAATATATCTATTCTTGTAATCATTTCGGGATTTCCTTGAAAGCGTTACTTCATGTTACTCAAGTTAGATTCTACAATCATTTTAATAATCTTTAAGGAACATGTATGGAATCCATATCAGTACTCTTTGGTGAATGCCTTGGTTGTACTTTTATGCAGTTCTCTTGGGGAGAACAATTGTATTGTCACAGGTTTGATGCGGGTAGAGTGCGATAAAGCGGAACAACAGCACAAAAAATAACTTGCGAGGCCTTTGTCTCCTAACTCCGCTCGACAAATTAATGAGCTACAGCAGTATTCGCTGTAGAAGAAAGTGCTCAAGATCTCGTAGCTAATATTACAGATCTATAGTTTTTTCGATACTGCAAGTAAATGTTACGAGAACAATAGGCATTCTGCCCAATGTGTACTGCACAAATCAGTGAGAGAACTGCTTTATTCTTTCTTTTGGAGATGACATTTCTTCACCGAGTAACGCAGTTACAAATTTGGGGAAAAATAATCTGATGGACATAAAAGGAAAGATTTCCGCACAACACCATACTTTTCTAAAACAAAGCCTCGTTCTCAGAGGTATTATTTAGTCGTCACTATGGTTTTTTCCCCCAAGAACTGTATGCATAGTATGGGTTTATACCAAAAGAATATAAACTCAATTTATATTCTTTCGATTTACACGGAAATCTCACCAACTTAAAAATCATCTATGAAAAAAACGCACTGCTTCGGTTCGAAATTTCACGTAGTTTTTTGAACACAAAGAATGTAAATATACACTGTGCTATTTGGGCTTTAGTTTTTATTTATTTTCAAGGCAAATTGGAACCGTTTGCCTGTCATTCCATTTACAGCTATTTTCTACTTCTACAGTATTGAATAATTTCTCTTGGTCTAAACATAGAAAATCATTTTCTTCACTTGTATGCTTAACTTTTATCCACTTGGGACTGGGAGAGCCCAAGATCCTGAAAAGAAAAGAACAATTTCGTATCAGTGGTTTGTAACTGACTCACTGCTCCTCTTAAAGGCATTTTAAGAACGCTTACGCCTTCCACATTATCATATTTTTTTGGATTGATTTCCTCTGGATCTTTCAGGAAGTTCGCTGATGAGTAAAAATGTGCAATATTTGTAACCATGTAAAGGTCATATTATTCTGGAAGAAAGATCTGACGACCTTTGTTTTTCCTTTCTCGATTCGCATTTAGCAATGGTGTTTTTACTTAATAAAAATGGGGTTGACAGATCTGTCCCGAACACAAATATAGAATTAAATTTCTAGTAAGGTATATTGGTAATAATAATTATAATAATACCGAAGACGAAAACGATGACGATGATGATGACCTTGATGATAATGGTGGTAGTATCAAATAATGACAACGAATAGTTACCAGTGGGTTAATGACAATCTTTAATGGAAGTAGAAGCTTTCTGTGTAGTTGTTTTTCCATCTGGGCAGGGCTCGCATTTAGTGGCGCGGAATTTTGGTTGGTATGTTCCAATTGGGCACATCAGGCAGTTGATAACTCCAGATTTTTCTTGCTTTGTATACTCTCCTGGCTCACAGATTTCTACATGGACAAATGACGACATGTTAATTCAAAATAAAAAAGTATAGGCTCGCTTGGCCAACATGGTCTGGTTATGATAACGCTACTCTTTGATTCTCGTTTTTGAATTTATTCAAGGCATTGCAAAAGATATAAACTTATAATCTCTTGGGTAATGCTTTTCCCCAAGGCTAAGAAGTCTAGTAGTACAGCAGGTTTAGACCCTGAAAATCCGCAATTCTTGTTTTCATCCCTGGCATTTGGAGACTAAATTGCCTTGTCCATCAAAGTATAGTCTTTTCTTCAAATGGTTTGGAAATCATTGCTTAGCGTTTGTTCATAGCAAAGGCACTGCTCATCCAGAGAAGATTTGTTTCCCTTAACTTTAGTTACTCTGGTAATATTTCAGTCTTAAGAAACTGCGCAAAGTTCAAATGAATACGAGAAGCTACCCTTTCCAGACCTTTTGCTTCTGGCTAAAGGCATCGGAAAACTACAGCCTCAAGAAATTACTCATCTTCATGACACAGTTTGGTGTGTAGATTTACTTGTCATCATTCAAAGAGTGCGAGGTTTTCCTTTCTTCGTAGACACACCTTACATAAAACTGTCCCCTCTTACTATCCAAAGAGGACAAAATAATAATATAAACTAACTGAGTAGTTTGTAATACCTAAAGTAGACCTGATCTGATTAAGAAACCATTCACCTACCAAAACACTCCATTAAATTTTTAGAATGGCCTCCCATGCTCCACGTTCCCGCTGGGCACGGCTCGCACGAAAATTGTCCGGTACGATTTTGAAATGATCCCTCAGCACAGTTCTGGCAAGTTTTAGTATCCTTGTTATAGAATGTACCTGCGTTGCACTCGACTGAGAGTGGAAAACACCCAATGTCACTGATTAAGATCTCTAAAATTACAAGATGCTTCGAGTTTATGCTGTATTTATAAATTATCAATAAATAAATCCATCTGAATCTGATTGTGCGACTAATTGTTTGCCATTATGTAAGAACATTAATGACAGAGTTAGTGTGACTGCAAAGGGTGGAAAGAAAGGCAAGGTACCCAGCCAACTTCATTTGAGGCTTATTCATTCCTTCCAATGGCTTAGAATATAAAGGTCTGCTGAACTTTGGATTAGCGCCAGACAAATTTTCTGGACGCTTATTTTTGTCAGTGGAAGAAATCTTATTAGGCTTTAATTGAGTCTAAGGTTTCATGAATCTCTAGCCTTGCCCACTGAAAATGAAATACTTTTACAGTTATCTGAAAGCTCTCACATAGCTGCTCATGGTGCTAAAAGAAGGAAATTTTGAAAACTTCCCACGTAGTTTACAGCACAAGTAGTTACGTTGATGCTTTTTGGTTTTTTCTTACCGCAGACAGTCCTCTCCAATTCTGAGCTATCACCAGGTACGACCTGAACCATTTTACCGGCTGGACAAGCAGCTGAACTGGCAGCTGCTGATATTTGCATTCCAGGCATCTGTGCATCGTTTGCAAAACTTTTTGTCACATACGATTCCAAAATGTCCAGATCTTTCATTATCTTTGCGATTCTAGGAAGAGGTAAAAGGTGAATTAAATAGATAGATAATCAAATACAAACAAATAGAGGTAAGTTATGAAGGATTAGAAAAGAGGAGAAGATGAATTTTTCATGTAATTCATTTCATTCAAAATGATAATAAAGAGAAGGAGCTAATGAGTAAATACTTGAATAAAACAAAAAATTTAAAATTGCTAGACAGAAACGCTAGCACACTGAAAGATTTTATCAATTCATTGAGACTGACCCTCACACGTGCCTTGGATAGGATGAAGGATAAATGTGCAACACAAAGTCGTGGCATTTCATGTTCAGGAAGCAAAATTGATAGAAAAAGTCAATTGATATAAGCTACCAGAGTGGGTATTCCTACGTACCTAATTGCTTCTTCCTTTGGATCTGACGAGGCTTTCATGTCCTTGATTACAAAATCAAATGTGATAACGCGTTCTCCACCTACGCTTCTCTTTCTGGAGTTCTGTCCACAGTACACCTTCACGTTTTCGACCACACAGTCCTGCCCTTGACTGACGTCACACAGAGCGAAGTTAGCTAGGGGGCTGTTTTGCACAGCGTGCAAGAAGTTCAGTCGGATTTGCGCCAATGCCTCCTGCTCGTTATCTGCGCAAGAACCAGTGTAGAATGTGAAGTTCTTCTGGGCACCGGCTACACTTTCTTGGGCTGTTCATAAATCGTTTCAATGAAAGGTGAAAGACATTAGATATAGTATGTGTTTATCTGTCGTAATGGCCCGTCTCTCTCAACTGAAGCCTTTTAGAGTCCTTAGCGCACGACTTGAAACCCATATGTCGCAATGAAGGAAATCTGACCAAAACCAAACCGACGAGGCCATTGACTAACTAACTTTACAGTATAAGAACTTCTTATAAGCTGAGAAGTAAATAGCGAATGTTTTTCAAGCAATGCCACAATCCAAAGTAATCTTTTGAAAATTCCAGGTTCGGCTTTTGCTGCGCACTGTTGTGAATTATGTAAGTATACATTCATTTTATCCTCTGTTCATGCAAGCAGTGATTGAGAGAGAAAGGCGTATTGTTATTATAGCCCGTGTGGTCTAGCAGGGAAAAATGAGCGAACAGAGAGTGATAGAGAGCCAGCAGGAAAATGCCAAAGTCATCCCTAAAGTAAATTCAATCGAGTTATAGGCGAAGGAAAACTTCGTATTTCTAAATAGAATAAGATATGCGGTAAGTTCTAATTTCGGTAAAGAAATAGATAGGGATATTTTTCGTCTTATCACGAGCGTGGGACAAAGAAAAAGTTGTAAGGCACGGTGAGGGATCGGATTCTGCGTTCCGATGCACTACCAGTGAGCCACCGAGACTCTAGTGAGCAAAGCCCATTACGAAGTTCATGTTATTCAGTTCTACTTCAAGTACTACCCAGAGCCCTAAAGGCCTCAAATGCCAAGGTAAATTGATCGACACAATAATTTAAGCGCACAATCACGACATGGTAGCTGACTATTAAGGTCTGTACCATCAGCCGGCCTTCCTTTCTGGTTCCTCAAATTATTTTATTTCCATGTCCTCTTTTTAGTCCTTTTTTAAGACATTAAGCGCCAAGGTAGATTAACCAACACAATAACTTACGCGAGCAATCAGGCCACGGTCGTTGACCATCGGGGACTGGAATATGTGCTATTCCGTTGAAGAGCTTCGTCCACACTCCATCAGATCGACACCAATAGGTATTTGGTGTCGTTGGATCTGAAAATCCGTATCCCTGTTTACACTGAATCACGCAAATCATTTCGTATCTCACACCGTTAGAATCCGATGTATTCTTATTGCAGGCTCGTATTCCATACGCCGGAGCATCGTAATACCTGCATGGTACCGCTAATGGGAGGGAAATAAAAGTAGGCAGATGAGAAAGTGCACATAGGGCATATCTAGAGAAAAGTTACGAATGAAGCGAATAATTAAGAAACAAATGAATAATTGGATGATTTCATGAAAATAAAAGAAAAGGAACAGTCATGGCTGGAAAAGAGCTTGAACTCATCTTTAATCAGCTTTTCTTGGCAACCCTGAATTTTGTAACCAAATTGTTTTAACTCTTATCAGAATCATCTTTCTAAAGCTGGGACTAATTAATTTATATTCAATTAGATACATTTCATTAATAAAATCATGGTTTATGTATAATTGGCGACGACTTATCAAACATAATAATGTTTTATTCGTCTATATATATGGAAAGTATTGACTCAGCTATGACTCCTTGCTTCTCAAAACTCTCTTATGTCCCATTGACTATCGTAAACATCGTCTACATTTCCAGCGTACTTGTTCATATTGTAACTTACGCCCAACTTCCACGGTAAATTCACATTTAGCCTTATTTCCTGCCCTGTCGGAGGCCTCGTAAATCACTGGGTATATACCCCACGGGAACTCAACTCCCGGATTTCTATTGCTCGAGATTAGAAGCTGAACTGGGGGCTTGTCAAGGTTATCTTCGAATCTTGGATACTCCCACGTGACCCGCACTGCATTTGCGCTTTCCCTTTTAATGTCGCTTGGACAAAATGCAACACCAGGCCGCTCAGTATCTGAAAGCGAAGAAAAACAAAAAGCAGGCCTTCAGAAACGCATATCAGAACCTCTTTAGCTTTCTGAGTCAACGATGTCTAATTTGAAAGCCAAATTCTTTTCCTTTCCTTTTAGGAAAAAACAATTAGTTGATAAAAAAGCTAAACTTTTTGACACAAAATCAATAACGTTTCGGCAAGACTGCGAAAAGCTAAACAACGAGAACGAATAATTGTCTATAGATGGTGATCAAATTATCCTACTTTCTACATTAAGTTTCTACAGAACTAATAAAAACTTTATGAATGATGGCTGTAATGCCATTGTTAATTCTTAAGTTGTATTCGAAAAATGATTCTTTTAATTAGTCAATGTACATGTATCAAAACATTTCATCTAAAATTCTGTTAAAATCACTTGTTTTCCTTTGACTCAATTTCTTTCATTTTCCTCCTCGATCAGCTCAGTAAAACTGGTTAGGTGTCCCAAACTATACAAATCCAGCCTTTTCTTTTCCTCCCTTCAAGTTAGAATTTTGCAAGCGGTAAGCTCAGTATACTGCATGTTCAACTAATCCCAAGAAAATAACTGACCTGACACTGTTATTTGAAGTGTGCATCTTGATTCCAAACCTGCTGCATCTCTTGCAGTATACACCACTTCGTGTGGTGCTGATTGGGCTATGAAATCTTTACTCCCAGCACCTACGCTTGTGGTGATCACCGGCTGCTGACCGCTGTTATCGCTGGCAGTGGCTTTGGGTATGCAAACTTTAGCAGTTGCTTTGCGAGGATCCGTGGACACGGAAATCGAATTGGGACAAATAATGGTGGGGGGTCGAACGTCTTAGAAAAGCAATTGAAAAAAAAAAACCACGAAATTCCAAGTTATCGACATTTTACTTATTTATCTAATAACTAATCTCATACGCTTCGAAACTGGAGAAGGTGTGAAGAAATATTGGAAATTATTCATCGAGTCCTAAATTAAAATTGTAAGCAATAGTAATCCTCTCTATCACAGATCATACCACCTCTTTTTCGCCATCTAAAATTATGTAATATGCTGAAATGTACATACATTTTGAGTGATTCCTACCTATGGTATATTGGAGGAAATACTCATACAATGCACAGATCACAGAAGATGTCAAAATGTGGCAAGAGCATATTCAATTGCGCCTCATGAGCCACATTTTAATTCTAAACACATTTCCACGTAATTTGGAATCTATGCTTGAACAGACTCACGGAAGCATGGAATCCATTTGTTAAATAGTAACAGAAATGAAAAAAAAAATAAAAAAATAAAAAAAAAAAACAACAACAACAACAGAAAAAACAAAAACCTGGCATTGTGATTCAGTATGTATCCCCACAGACGTCTAACCCAAATCGCTCAGCTCACTCTTATTGCACCGTACCTTTACAATATGAACTCCAGGGCGTGGACCATTGACCGTTTGCCTGACATGTGCGCTGGGACGGGCCTTCCAGCTGAAAGCCATTGACAACGTCACATCGAAGGAGACAAACTGACCTACATACTTGCGGGTTAGCTCGACAATCATCTCGGTCCCAGCTCCCGTGTGATGGATTTCCAAGGGCAGGACAAGTGACAACTAAGTAAAGGAATGGATATTGTTTTGTGGATATCTATGTTGCCTTTGTGATACAGTATCAGTAGAAAGCTATTATCTGTTATGACTGATCTAGCACGCGCTCAGGTGAAGTTTTAGGGCTGAAAATCGCGGTTTTGCCTTTAATACTGAGCCGAACAGATCTCATTATTAGAAATAGTCCTTATTGTGTGGCATACCAATCTTACGATGTGAGCCTCCAGAACTCGGTGTTGGATCGACTAATAATCTCCTAATTGATGTATATCGTTATTCTTAATTATCAATTGTCTGCTTGATATTGTGTTTATATAGTAAAGAGAAATTCTGTCTTCGTCTCTCCTTGGACTTTTAAAAAGGTTAGAGAAACTGTGAATGATGGTAGCAAGAGAAGTCAAAGGAAATGTGTTGTACGACTGTAGTACTTGAAGGATGCCTTATTTGGCCAAGCTGTTTTTTTAGCAACAAATATTAATTTAAATTTTCCATCTCTAATCTTTAGTCCATTTATCCAAAAATGAACCACAAGGAGCTTCTAGTCCTTTTACCTTTTTCTCTGTCTTGTGATTGAGGAGATGGACATGACTGTGGTCCAATACCATTGCAGTTGTCTCGTCTTTCAGTATATCGCCAAGTGAGAGTGTAGCTCCTGGTTCGGCGCTGGGAGGCACAGTGTCCATCGACTGGAGTTGAAAGATCCACCCAATTGGTCCATCCACCGAGGGAGCAAGTCGCGTACCTACATGAACCTGGATGAAAGGACAACAAACGATTAAAATTGGCCATAGAATCCCGTCCCAGGGTCTTGTTCATGTCTTGCTAACTTTTTTTTTACATGTATTCAAGCCTGCCAAGGCCAGGCAACAAACAAATATACGTAGTGGCCATTTCTTGATATAATTCATGCAGCTTTGAAATCTTAACATCAGAAAGGCATAGCCTTCCTTACTGCGGCTAAATCTCAATTCATCACAATCAAAAGCTATCATTCAAAGAATTCATTTAAACCTTGTGGATAGCTCCTAGGTGTCACTATGTTGGGTTGTTTTTATAGAATTTACGCGAAAAGCCAAGAAACGACTGCTATATATAACTATGAACGCCGCATATTTGACTTACACCAGTTCCTATAGTTGTACTCTCGGTTTCCACAACTGCTTGCGATACCATTGCAATTGTTGTTTCTAATGTCGTATTTGGTATGTTGATTGTAGTCGCGGTAACGACTCTGACGTTGGCATGTTCCTTGGGGAACTGATCCAGACCAACCAGACCATGCGTGGAACGGACAGTAGTAAGCATTTTTACAGGAACCTGCAAAGTAAAATAGAGTGGTAAAAATCGTATATAGACCTCGATGGAGAGTTAAAGGGATACTCTACACCAAATTTTAACATTTAATTAAAATGTAGATATTTTGCCAAAACAACTACTGGAAGAAAAAAAAGTTCTCTAAAACCTTTCATTCGATTAAAATCCTGGTGCAAAAGCGCGAAATTCACTCAATTCAAAGACCGGAAGTTGAAATGGCTCCTAGTTAAACATTCTAGCGGTACGACTGCCCCGAAATTGCACAGAGACGTCTTTCCCTATCTTGGGGGTTTGGGTGTTGACATCTTGAGCTTGAGGTGAGAGTTCTGCCGATGCCAAACCTAATTCTTCGGTACTCTCTTTGGAACGGGAAAGCTGTTCATTTTCTGTATGTGCATCGAGGATCTGGAACACGCACCGAGTAAATGAGTTGGGTTATAAGTTTGAAAGAGCTTTTTGCTACATTTTTCATTCAATGAATACAGGTTTATATTTCTTTTACAGGAAATACAATCCCTTGCAGCTTCCCCTTTTCTGTATGCTCCTCGTACTTGTTGTCGATTTTGTTTTAATAATCCCGCCCTAGTGTCACGGACTTGTGAATATGAGGGTTTATTTTCGTCCTCGAGCCTTTGTTTCTTTTTTACATGCGGATTAATATCAAAAATTAAGGGAACAGCATTGTATTTTAGAAAGGGCTTTCATCTTTAAACCCATAGATTTCGCCAGAACCGACTGTTCCTCAAAAGAATCTACAGTGAAGTAGTGAATGTTGCACAGACGGCTGGAGTTTGTTGGGTTCTCAAAATCGGATCGCGTGTTTTTCACGGCTCTTGTCCATAACCTAACAAAATTAGGATCTTCGGGCCATTTATGAAGGCTTACTCCATCGCTATGTGTATTGGAACATCCACCGGCCACACATCGTTGCGGAATTATTTTATTTTTGGGGCGCGTTTTTTATTTTGAAGAAATCCCGGTGCTCTTGTGAAAGAAATCTCAACGGAAGTTGAATGAGTTCTCCTTTTACGTCACTTCCGTTGGGAGGCAAAGCCCTTACGCTCGAACCACGCGTTTACAAAAGTTTCAAATTTAAACGAAAACTACAAAAGATTTCGCCTTTTTTTCAAAACATTTGTTTTATTTAAGTTGTTTTCCTTTTTTTTCCTCAAAAAGTCATCACAAGCGAGAGAATATTTCTTTAAGTTGAGCCGAGCTCCCAAGATTACTCAGCGAAATTAGAACTTTGCAAAGAGATACGCCAACCTTGGTGAATCTTTCCTTCTTTCTTCTAAACCCAGTTGTGAAACTTATTCGCCCTTAACATTTGCTCTTTGCTTTGTCCTAAGTGCAAAATGGTCCTTCTCAGTTTACGTAATTAATTCTGCAGTAGTAAAACGCCGCACGGGCGGAACTTACATGTCATTATTATCTAACGATGTTGAAATAAACAACATGCCACTTTAGAATCGAAAATGGGAATCACCTCTTAAAATATTCCTTAACTAGCCAAATTCAACGCATATATACTGTGGTATGAATGAGGTTTCCTGCACGAACTAATTCAGTCGAAATGAGACTTTATATGAAATAAGAATGTGATGATAACAAAATGATAAAAATAATAGTAATATCAATTATATTAATAATAATAAATAATAATAATAATAATAATAATATAATAAGAATAATAAGAATAAATGTTTTAATAAAAATAATAATAATATGCTAGCAACAATGGGATAACATAAGCCAAAGTCAACCAGGCTACAACTTTCATGTCTCCTTCTGGAGGTTAGAAAATTTCTTGTCCTCACTACACTACCATGATTACAAAGAATACAACTTTTTAAAAATCCGAAATTTCGATTGCGATTTTAATGAATTCCCTATTGCAGAAAAAAGAGTTAAAATTGTTATTGATACATTTTACCTCAGGATTTACGTTAATCCAAACACAGCCGTTTCTAATGAATCATTGCGGTTTGCTTCTGGTACCATTTATTATTTCAGTTTGGTCAACAGATTATCTAATTACAAAATACCAAAGATCTTAAATTAAGCTATTCCATTTTCAGGCGGAGAGAAATTAATGTTTTGGCCTGATGCAAATTTTTACGTGGATTAAGCTCAGATTTCTTAAAGAAAACGATATTTAATTTCTTTGACACAAGATATCGCGGTCGTATTTGCTTTCGCTTCACAGGTGTAAAATAAAAAAAAAATGCATCGAAACTGTACTGTATTTGAGGAAACCGTAAATGGTTGATATTATCCAAGCAGAAGATTAAAAAATCGTCGCGATTCGTTTCTTGAATTAAAGCCGCGATATTGTATTGATGTAAAAGTTCTCCGTTGCATGCCTTACTTCAATACCTTCCGATAATGTATTGAATTGCGATTTATAAACGTTGTGTAAATCAGCTTATGAATTTTTGTTTGAATTAACTCGTTTTTGTAATGATCGAATGCATTATTACCAAAACACATCACGTAGAAGTTTTACGTTTGCAATAAAGCTCTTCGAATACTGTTTTCAACAAGCTTTGGTAGCTTAGAAATTTTAAGGGATTTTTGTCACTTAAGGGTTTGCTTAAATTGCGAGGAATAAGCTTTGAAATTTAAATCTTGACTTTCCCGTGCAATTCTAATTAAGTGATCAGTAAATGAAAAAGTTTTATCCCGAGAAATAAGGGCTTCATCTACTCATTCTATAGCAAAATGGTACTAGCCTGAAATTTTCAAAAGATGAATGGTCTTTTGGTTCGTTAAACAGGCAGTATAGGAACATCTACGTGGCCTAATAACTAATTAAGTCGCTTGAATGATCGAACAAACCTACGTCTATTTTACTTATTCAACTAAAAGGTTAAGAAATTATTATATTAGCTTAGGAACTATTGGCTATTTCCTTGCGGTTTATGCAAGAACCGACGGAATACAGAAAAATACGAGATGTTTGGGAATTTTTCAGAGGTCTTAATTCTTGAGTGTGGGGATAATGTTTCTCTAGAAGGGACGAAACTTCCCATCACAGTAAATCATGATTTTTTTCATCGGAAAAAATGATTAGGATCGTATCAAAACGGTTCTATCCATCTTCTTCACTCAATTTTAAGGCTGTACGAGTATTTTCTTATTGAAATTGTGATCCAACTAAACCATTGCATGCAAATGTAATGCAGTTTTAGCGAGGACTGAAAGCATATCAATCTTTCATTACTCTGAAAACTCTAGAAATTTGACTTACATAATGTTCTGTGCTGCGTGCTTGGACTACAATGTGACGGAGACGGACAAGGAGACTTGCCATTATGAGTGCTAGTGATATGGTGAGCATTACGATGCTGCCTCACACAATTTCCCTGGGGTACCGAAGGTCCCCAATCGTTTCTCCATTGGTGTTGGCAGGTGGTCCACGAGCATGGGGATGGCCCTCCTCCGCCGCCACAGGACAACACAAATTCCAAGGTATTGACGAGTACAAGAAGCTTCAAGGCTTGGGAAATGGCCATGCTGTCTTGCAGTGTTGAAAACTTCGCAATGACCGAAATGTTTTGTTTCCTTACGAGCTTTTGTTTGGATTGACGGACGAATTACAGATACTCGGATTTATGAATGTACACAGCTGGTATGAGGAATGATGTCTTAATGTCAAATAACCTTGAAATTATATCTCCAGGAAGCGATTCATTGAAATATGTGTGTTAAAAATTACTTAAAAGAGGCTTAGTGTGTCCCTCTTGATTAATTATAAAATGAAAATAAACTAGGAGAAAGGTTTGGGGCAGATATCAGTTCTTTTCTCACCTAAAAAAGAGCAAGCAATAACAGCTTAAGTAAGGAAAAATATTTTGCCTGCACCTGTCAAAGCATTAGAGATATTTCAGGGACGTAACGTGCGGTTTTAAAATACAGAGATACATAATAAATATTCTTCTGCATGGTACATGAAAGGGACACCTCTATCACAGTTATGCCGTGGTATGATATCGGTAAAGTTTTCGTAATACTTGTATATATTTTAAATACTTTGGCAAGGAACCGAAGTTTTCTTTTTATCTTGACGTCAATGTTGGGTTACTAAGGAGATTATATGATGTAACTATATATTTCGAGAAGTAAGGTGGAAACCATCGTTACGGCGCAACCCGGCAACCAATAAGAGTGCAATCATCGACGAACTAGATGATAATCTAATGATGATGATGATGATGATGATGATGATGATGATGATAATAATAATAATAATAATAATTTATTTAAAGTCGATAATGTAGGAAGTGGTTTCCTAATCTTCCGAGCAGGTGGCTCATGTTAAAAAAACACTCGACAAAAGACTGAACCCTTTGACCGAACGATCTCTCATCTTTTGACTGAGAAGAATACTCCCTCTCTGGGTGAAGAAAAGCACCGTTAATATAACTGAATAAGAGTAGTGGACATGGAAAAAAGCCTTTTTTTTTCTGAGCCAAACTCGAGTTCTCGAGAAGCGGAACAGTGGCCTTGGCTACAAGACATTACAAAGGCTAAACCATGTAAAACGTTAATCAAAATTAGCATTTTCATTTTTTTTCTAACCGTTTGCAATTGTTTGGCTCTCGTTGTGACGCACGGACTTCGCTACGCTCGGTTTTTACATCTTGACTTTGCGAGCGGCCCTCCCATTCATTCAATGACTATATATTACAGACTTTTCTAAAAGATAGTTTCGTAAAGCGTACATAGCTTACTTACACTTTGTTTTTTGCTGTGTGAAAGGAAAACATGGAATCGTTGGAGGACAATAAAAATCTCCGCGATGAGTTGTAAAGGAATAGTGTGCACTGCGTTTTTGTGTAATACACTGGCCCTGTGCTTGATGCGCTCCAGTCGTTTCTACACTCGTATCTATTGTAGGTTCTCCAAGTACATGGTCTTTACGGCATATAAGCAATAGCAAGGTTAACGGCAAAAGAAAGCGCGCTAAAAATGTGTAAAATAGACATCGAGTCTCGAAGAGCTCTTATCACAAGGTCAAAGATGTGACCGGGACTGTAAACAATGAAATGAAACGTAAGCAAAGTCTTTAAGATAAATTGGGATGTAAAGGTAATTCAGAGTTTTTTAGAGTTTACTCAGCTGACGCAAAATACTAAGTCCACTATTAGTATATTTACTCTTCTTAACATTTGAACTAGCGATAGAACTATTCAACTAGCGATAGAACGAGTACATGAATACTGTATGGTTAAAGAAGGTTCTTTTCCAAATAGCGACCTGGATATGCAGTCATCTTAGGTAACTAATATTGATCAGATTGTCAGATATTTGCTAATTACCTTTACGACATGAGAAAATTGGCATAATTACTGAGTAAAGAAATGAATGTAAGAGAATAAATTCATTCTTAATTGAGTATCCATTATGAATGTTTATCCTTTGTCTTCGCACTTTTTCACTTGCATGGCTGAAAGTGCACTCGTGTCTCCTACCAAAATCTCAACAAGACATGAGATGTGATAGTCTCATTTGTCAAATTGAGCGGACTTAACGGAAGCCTATCAAAACCGGACTTACATCATGGAAAAAAAAAACTGAAATCCTAAAATTATGCGATTTTTTACCGTAATGCTGATTTTGAAAATTATAAGAATATGATTTCTCGATGTTTCGATGTTGCTAACATTATTACTATGGTAAAAATAATGGTTTTATTGCAGGGTGAATATGAATTAGTGGAACTAGAGAAATAGGCATTTGCATGTGATCTCCCCTAGGTAGTTTCGCGCGGATAGAGACAGTTTTGTACGTTCGTAGTTCACTTGAGATCTTAAATAATTAGTATTTCGTGGATAAGAAAATCGAAATTGTAGCGGCATATTCTCAACTCTGAAAAGTTGCTAATTAAAACCAGTTTCGACATCCTGTGGGTCTTCAACATATGCTTTCCAAGTGACGAATTCAGAGTACTGTGTTCGGCATTATGCTGACGTAAATGTCATTTGGTGTAACCAACATAGTCCATGTCACATAGACCACACTTAGAAAGGTAGACGATTTTGGTGTCTGTTTCAGGAAGTCTCTGATTTTTAGGCGTGTGAACACAACAGGACGCAAGCCGGTGCACGCCGGCGCATGCCAATTTAGTTGCTCAAGGACTGTAGCTGTCGCGTTGTCGGTCGATTTTTAGTCTTTAAACTGGAATGATGATCATGATGAGTTGCTCGATGAAGTTATGTTCAAGGATACTGGACCTGTTGCTGATGGTTCGGTTGTGCATGAATGTCCAAATCAAAAAATCTATTAGCTGGGTTAGGTAAGTTACGGAGGTGTGTGAAATTATGTTCAAGAACACCGGACCTATCGCCGGTGGTTTGGTTGGGCATGAATGCCTAAATTAATAAATCAGTTAGCTTGGTTGGGTAGCGGAAGTGTGCGAAGGTGGTCTTGAGAATCTCGCACTCGTCAGTAACAGTCTTTCTAAGTTTACGACAGTCGATAGGCTCTGGATAGCATCTTTTTTAATAGGCTGGCCTTATAGTGATGGTCAACTTTACTATAACAAAAAAAAACAAACGTTGATTTTTCCTTGCTAAAACCATTTTCATTTCCTATGCGTCACACATCTGGATCTAACAGCTGACTCAAGCTGATTCTTTGCCGAAGAATGCGTGCTCATGTTGCTAAGTCTTGGTTTGGAAATATTTTCGAATGATGTCGTACCACTGTACTCCAAAACAAAGCATTGTTTTTGCTATTGTTAGTATTCCTTCATCAGCAAGAAGTAGGGGATTATAGGGAAAAATCTTGCCCTAGGTTTTTCTGTCAAATAAAAAAAAGTACATATATTTCCCACTGAACGTACAAGATAATTTCGGTGACGTAGTTATTTTGTATTTCTGCAAGTCTATTTTGAACAGATAAACATTCTTAATGTGTTTTGCAGCGCATTGGGGTTTTAAACCAATTGTTAAAGTATAATTCAACCGACAGACACAATTCTTTTAAAACTATCTTACAATTACCAACTGATTCAGTTAGCAGTAAGTAACTACTTCTACTATTGGACATCTTAAATTTCAATTATTAAGGAGCGACTCCTCAACGGTCGGTCTGTACTGACAACAATAAACAGAGCTCAAGTAGAATTAAAGAAGAACTTATCAAAACAAACAAACAAACAAACAACCAAAAAACTGAGAGTATTACCACTTCTACAGATAATCATACCACTCGAAACATTCCAGAAGCTACATTATTAGTCTAGTTCCTATCCAAAAAAAACAGAAACAAAAACAAAAAACAAAAAACAAAAAAAACATAACAAAACAAAAAGTCCACGGTAATAAATTGAACCAATCTCTTAAGTATTTGTTTCCCTATATTCTCCAAAACAGTTTGACCTTGAGAAACGGGTTGACAAACAGATTTCACGGAAAGCTTTTGGTACTTTTGATAAAATAGAACACACAACCACTCAATCAAAACAAAGCAAGTAAAACCAAAATAAATAAATAAATAAATAAATAAATATAATGAAACAAATGAAATTAAAAAGAAAACAACAAAAAAACCAACAGATAACATTTCTGCAAGAAAAATATTTTATCCTTGATTATTACAAGAGTTTACAATTCATGAAAACCATCGCCTCTTTTAATTTTTAACGAACTGGCACTATTCAATTGTACAGTGACCCCAGAAGTAAGTTAACGAATTAGACTTTGAAATGTCTCCTCTTTAGACTCTGATAACAAATTTTACTAACCATGCGTGCTCGCGAAAGCTCAGACATTGAAATTCATTTCACTGATACCGAACACAAATAAAAGTCTTGACTGTAAATAGAACCACCTGTTTTACCTGTATGCCAAGATTGTTTCCACAAGAAGAGAAGGTGAGATGTTTTGTCCCTAAAAATAGACCTTATTATGAATTTTCGGCATTAAGGAAGATTTCCTTATTGCTAACAAAATTCTGTTGACGTTGTTCGTTATCAATTGTTTTTATTTTTCTTTCCGCCACATTTTCATCAAGTTCGTTTGTTTTCACGCGCATTGCTTTCGACGGTATTCTGTTACCTTATTTGCATAACTTGTTTTGTGTGTTCATTCGTATAAGTTCTTTAGCCTCATAAATTTTACTCATTCGGCTCTATCGTTGCTGAATCTTTGCTCTTTATCGTTTTCTATCGCCTTAAGCCAGCCAGGATCTCGTGCAACGTTTGTAAGCGTCTTTATTGTCTATTATTTTGTTTCCGAGTTTGTCAATTTCTCTACATACGTATATATACGTACGTTATTGTTTGCGATTTTATTTTAACAACCGCTTTGCTTCGAGTGTTCATTTCGTGTCTTAAAAAATGTGTTTGATTTTGGACACGTACGAGCGTTCTGGTCGTTTTAACCTTTTTTGTCCATTTTTGTGAAATTGGCTTTTGACGTAAAACTGATATCTTTTGTCAATTTACAGCTGTAAAAATGGATCATTCCTAAATAAGAACGTACATACTGTAAAGTACTTACATATGCTC